AGTGTTTTTAAAGGCTCAAGGCGCACTAAGGCGCCGAAGGTCTCTTGGAGCCTAGGCGCAAGGCGCAAGGCGAGGCGCGGGCTTTATTGAAGTAAGGCGCACAGTATTCGTAAAAAATAGAAAAATTAATATAGACTAATCATTCATAGTAGTAAGACAATTTTTTAAAAAATAAAAAGTAATCAAGATTCAAGACAAAATATAGAATAATTCTTAAAGCCATGAAAGTGCATATTACATAACATTTCAATTTTCAAAGATCAAATAATCCACATTCAATAAAATAAAAACATAAACACTAAACATCCAAAACATAAATATCCAACAAATATTAATATATGTCTTAACACTTAAAAACATCAATATCAAAAGAAAGGGTAGGTTAGGTCGGTGTCAGTCAATCATCATCCTCAACATCAATGGCAAGCAAACTATCATCTTCTTCTCCATCAGTTGATTTGTATCCCTCAACATCTTCCTCTTCTGTGTCATCTGAGCCCGCTTCCTCTTCATCTATTAATTGAAGTGGATCTGAGCCCGCTTCCTCTTCATCTATTAATTGAAGTGGATCTGAGCCCGCTTCCTCTTCATCTATTAATTGAAGTGGATCTGAGCCCGCTTCCTCTTCATCTATTAATTGAAGTGGATCTGAGCCCGCTTCCTCTTCATCTATTAATTGAAGTGGATCTGAGCCCGCTTCCTCTTCATCTATTAATTGAAGTGGATCTGAGCCCGCTTCCTCTTCATCTATTAATTGAAGTGGATCTGAGCCCGCTTCCTCTTCATCTATTAATTGAAGTGGATCTGAGCCCGCTTCCTCTTCATCTATTAATTGAAGTGGATCTGAGCCCGCTTCCTCTTCATCTATTAATTGAAGTGGATCTGAGCCCGCTTCCTCTTCATCTATTAATTGAAGTGGATCTGAGCCCGCTTCCTCTTCATCTATTAATTGAAGTGGATCTGAGCCCGCTTCCTCTTCATCTATTAATTGAAGTGGATCTGAGCCCGCTTCCTCTTCATCTATTAATTGAAGTGGATCTGAGCCCGCTTCCTCTTCATCTATTAATTGAAGTGGATCTGAGCCCGCTTCCTCTTCATCTATTAATTGAAGTGGATCTGAGCCCGCTTCCTCTTCATCTATTAATTGAAGTGGATCTGAGCCCGCTTCCTCTTCATCTATTAATTGAAGTGGATCTGAGCCCGCTTCCTCTTCATCTATTAATTGAAGTGGATCTGAGCCCGCTTCCTCTTCATCTATTAATTGAAGTGGATCTGAGCCCGCTTCCTCTTCATCTATTAATTGAAGTGGATCTGAGCCCGCTTCCTCTTCATCTATTAATTGAAGTGGATCTGAGCCCGCTTCCTCTTCATCTATTAATTTTGTGTCATCTGAGCCCGCTTCCTCTTCATCTATTAATTGAAGTGGAGTTAATCTTGATGATTTAGATATCTTCGGTTGTGCCTTTGAGCGTGAACTTGTTGCTCTACTTGCATGGCTACTTTCTTCTACTCCAGAAGCTCTAGCAACAGTGGCCCACGTCAAGCCATCATCAAACACAGGCTCATTATCTTCATCTGATTCTCCATCCATCCTTCCAAGCAACCACTCATTGCTTTCATCAATATTTTGCAAAGATATGGGATCAAGAGTGTTGCGCATGTCATACCTAAATCTCAATGTTCTATTGTATTTGACATACACTAAATCATTGAGACGTTGTTGTTCCAATCTATTTCTTTTCTTGCTATGAAGCTGCAATTATTAAAAAGATATTAAATTCTATATAATTAGAATAAAAAATATTTGAATTGAACAAAAAATTAGTTAGAATGTTAAATACTCACATGTTCGAATACACTCCAATTTCGTTCACAACCCGATGAACTACATGTTAGGCTAAGGACTTTTATGGCAAAAGTTTGCAAGTTTGGAGTATAAGAACCATATGATGCCCACCAATCAGCTTCGATAATCCACTAGTTAGAAATAATTGTTACCAAGTATTGAGTTTTACTAAAAGTATTACTAAAAATAAACTCTATGGGTCTATAATATATTACCTGGTGCTCTTGTATTTCTTTGCCTAATCGCAACAGACTTGCCAAAAAGACTCTCAGCCTTCATATAAATACTCATCTCATTAGTGATCAAATCTTGAACATTGACATTCGGGACCAACCTTTGCATGCATTCATAAAACTCATTCATCACTTCATGATCTTTTTGCACCTCTAACGCTTTTGGGTAAAAGAATTCTGGGTTAAGAAAATGCGCAACTGCATGTAAAAGCCGATGCAATTGGACATCCCATCTTTTGTCGATGATTTCTAAGATTTCATCATACTTCTCTTCTTTATGATCAAATGAACTTGCAATGCATTCTTTTGCCCTATCCATTGCCTCATAAAATGTATCCCATGGGAGATTTCTTCTCGGTATCTACCAATCTAAGCACTTTGACAAGAGGACCCGAGACCTTAAGGGCAAACACAACAGTATTCCAAAATGAAGGCATCAACAAAGTTTGTGCCATTCTTTTACCTTGTGGCTCCTTTGCCCATTTGCTTGAGGTCCAGTCTTCGGAGGTGACCATCTTTCTCAAATTGTTTTTTTGTTGATGCATCCTAGACAAAGTCAAAAAGGCGGTTGCAAATCTAGTTTTTGCAGGCTTGGTCAAATTCTTCAAATTTGTATAGCGCCTCATCATGTTTAGCAACGTAGGCTGATTGTAAATGTAGCCATGTACTGCAATACCCCTTTCAAATGTCTTTTTCAGTCTAGGTATCTTGAAAATGTCTTCTAACATCAAGTCCAAACAATGAGCAACACATGGTGTCCAATACAAGTGTTCATACTTAGCTTCCAAAAACCTCCTTATAATGTAACAATAACGAAGAATTATTATTTTCAAGTTTTTAAATTTTAAATACAAAACAAACTATGAGTAAACAATTTTGATGTAAGGAATGAGGAAATATTCTTACCCACCAACACATTAGCTGGAGCACTATCAGTGATAACTTGCACCACATTCTCTTTTCCAACTTTCTCCACAAACTTGTCTAGTAATTCATATAGCTTTTGCCCATCCTTTGAATAGCTAGAAGCATCAACCGACTCAACAAACATGGTTCTTCTTGGACAATTAACTAAAAAGTTAATCAATGTCCTTCCTCTCTTATCAGTCCAACCATCAACCATTATGGAACACCCGTATTTTGCACAATCCTCTTTATGATCCTTCATCAAATCTTCAGTATGTTTCACTTCTTTTTTGAGTTGGGTAACCCGCACTTCATGGTAAGTCGGTGGCTTCATACCAGGACCATATTGGCCAATGGCTTCAATCATTGGTCCAAAACTCTCGTAATTTACTGCATTAAAAGGGATACCAGCATCATACATCCACCTTGCAAATCTTTGCACTGCCCAAGCTCTCATTTCTTTTTTGTAAGGGTCATTTGCATCAATTTTGGTTTGTTTCCCTTTTACTTGGTCTTTTCGATTTTTTACCACTGATTCAGGATTGAGTGTGAAGTAAACATCCATAGGCCCTTTTCTTTTTGGCATTTTTGATTTGGATTTGGATTTGGATGAACCTTGGCCAACTTACGGTGTTGATTGACATTGATCTCAACGATATCATCATCTTCATCTTCATCTTCCATGTCCATGTCATCGAAATCAGGCAACATATTCATTTCTTCTTTTTGTGTCTTTTTTTTTTGACATGAACTCTCTAATCTCTTCTCTTACATGAGAAGGACACTTCGGGCAAGCAGTGACATTCCCATAACCTCCCGCAAGGTGTTGTTTCACCCGATAAACACCTCCATTTGATACTTTACCACAAAAGTTACACTCGAACTTGTTTAAATTATTCTCCTCTACCAAATGGGCATATTGCCATGCCGGATCTTTTCTATTACTTTCCGATGTCATTTTCTACACAACAAATTTAATAAAGGAAAAATAATTGTATTAAAAGAATAAATGGAAAACAAATTTCATCCCTAATAGATAAAGGGAAAAAAAAAGACCAATACCACATTGTATTAATTAATTATTTGTGAATAATTAATTTTTTTTAATTTTTTTTCCCTAACAGATAAAGGAAAAAAATATCAATAGCATATTACAAATAATTAATTATTTGTGAATAAGTAATTATATGTAATTTTTTTTCCCTAACAGATAAATTCTTCTCTTACATATCACAAATAATTTTTTTTTAATAGCATATTACAAATAAAATTTTTTTCCCTAATTTTTGTAATTTTTTTTTGTAAATTCTTCTCTTACTTTTTTTTTTTCAGAGACTCAACTCAAATAATTGAAAAAAAAAAAGAAAAAAAAGAAGAAGAAGAAGCAAAACAGCACTAAAGAAGGAGAGAGACGAAGAGTCGAAGGCAAAACAGAGCACTGAGCTGTAAGTCGAAGCCCAAAAAAAAAATAAAAAAAAATGAAAGTTGAAGCAGAACTGTTAAGTCGAAGACGAAGAAGAAGGAGAAGGGGAGAGAGAGTCGAAGTCGAACCTGCGAAGCCGAAGTCGTAGTCCAGTGTCGCTGTCACAGTCGCAGTTGAAGTCTAGCTCCAGTAGCCCAGTCGAAGTCCAGGTCGATTACAAGGCGAAAGAGGAAGAGATGACTTCGATTAGGGTTCGTTTGAGTTGTATTTGGCTCATATGGTACATGAGTTGTAATCCTCTGTGATTACGAGCCATTCGAAAGGTTCATCTGAGTCGTTAGATCAGATCTACATCTTAAACAAGCAGTCGCGCCTAGGCGAGAGCCTTGCGCCTCTCTCGCCTGGCTCAAGTCGCGGCTAAGGCGCTCGCCTGGCTCAAGTCGCCTCGCCTGGGACCTGTACAGGCGCGAAGGGTGCGCCTCGACTCGCCTTGCGCCTAGGCGCGCTTTTCACAACACTGGTCCAACAAGACCAAGGTCTCAAGGAAAAAGTCGTGGCCCTATAAGAACAACTTGAGAGAAGAGAACGGGAAATGGCTGCTATGTTGGAGCAAATGAAACAGTTGCAGGCCCAAATGACATGAACAGGAAGTGCACCCAAACAAAACAAATGGCACAACTTGTTGTGGGGACATCCGTAGGCATACAAAGCACACTAGCCCCAGGGGGCAATGGTCCTTGTTACTCTGATCTAACCAGTGGTGGTATGAATTCAATGCTCATGGCCATGATTGATGATATGGTGAGGAGACAAGTAAAGAAACTCAAAGAAAAAAATGATGAGAACTTTCAAATAATTACAAAACCTTACCCAGGATGGGTAGATACTGTTTCATTCTCTTATGGTTTTTCCCAACTAGATTTCAAAATGTTTGATGGAACAGGAGATCCAAGATAACATGTGGCTCATTTTCTTTCAAGATGCGGGCCAATAGTCCAGAATGAGGCCCTGTGCTTGCAGCTATTTGTCCAATCACTTGAAAGTTCTGCATTTACTTGGTATGCTAATCTTCCTGAGGGATCAATCCCAAATTGGGATTCCATGGTCAAGGAGTTCCTTAAACAGTTCTGCAACATACAAAGGCGAGTTGGAGTACTAGAACTGATTGAGACCAAGCAACGTGACAATGAGTCTGTCACAGATTTCATTGCAAGATGGCGAGCTTTGACGTTTGCTTGTCCTCAAAAGTTTATGCAATTAGAGTTAATTCAGATGTGCCTTAACAACTTCCGACATGAGCTCTCTACAGCTCTTATGGCTCAAACTTTTGAAGGATTCAATGATCTATGCACTAAAGCTCATGATATGGAGCTGCATCTAACTAAACGAAGGAGGCCTAGGGCCGTTGAAAGGGTTGAGTCCTCGACTGCAGCTATAATTGAAACCAGAAAGAAGGGTCCTGTTGTAGTAGGGGCTAAAAAGCCCAAGGAATTTAAAAAGGTGACTATGAAAGAGAGGTTGGAGAAGAAATATTCTTTCACGGATGATCTAGTCGAAGACCTATTTGAAGATCTATTGGAGCAAAAGTTGATTGCTCTCCCTGAGGTGAAAAGACCACATGAGGTAGGAAAGACCAATGATCCAAAGTATTGCCCCCACCATCGTTTGATTAGCCATCCGATAAAAGAGTGTTTTGTTCTGAAAGATAAAATTTAGGAACTTTTGGACTATCGAGCTCCCTCCTTAAGAGAAAGCATATGCTAACCCAATTACTATCGACAATGATAATGAAGGTGAATGGGTTGTTTATCAGTCAAAAAGCATGAAGAAAAAACAAAATGCCACAGTGAAAGCTAGAAATGTGGTTGCTTCAACAACACAAGGGCCAAAAGTTTCCAAAAAGCAAAAACCAAAAGTTTTCAGGAAACAAAAAAAAGCCAAAGTAAGTAAGAGAAAAGAAAAGAAGAACCCAAAGAAGGAAAAATGGGAGAAATTGGTCCCTGATGAGCAGTTAGAGCAATTTCCCCTTGTCCCAATCACATTGAAGGAATTTCTGCCTTCAAAATTTCAATCTGTGGAGTTACAAACATACTTTGATAAAAGGAGGAAGGAAAAGTTTACTTTGGCCCCTTGCCTAGCCATCATTGTTTTGAGTGATGATGAGGAAGATGAGGGTGAAGTTGGTTCAAAAGTTAGGGAAGGAGATTGCATTACATCTCCTATCTGCATACCTGACTCACCAGAGTATACACCAACTTCTCCAGAATACACACTAGCCTCACCAGAGTATGCACCAGCTTCTCCAGAGTACACACCAAAAGCCTTTTCTCCAGAATATTCGCCAATACCACCAAAGTACTAGCAAAACACTCCAGAATATGTAAGGGGAACAGAACAAGGAGACACTGGGTGTAGGTCCGACTTTGAGCTTGTGAAAAAGGCGAAAAAATGACTACACTTCAAGGATGATGAGGTGAATGGCAGGTGTAAGTCGGATGATGAAGTATGGAAGCATTCAAGTAAACGAGCAAAGTCATCTCAAGTTGAGGATCCTAATAAAGATTGGGAACTTGACTTTTCTCCTGATGGTTCACCATACACATCCCCAGTTAGGACATACGATGGAGAAAGTGTATCAAGTGACCACTTTGACTTTCCTTGTAATGTCATCACTGTGGATGTAAATTTTGAAGAGCGAGAAATACGTATCATTCGCAATCCAGGTGATGATGAGAAAGCAAAAATTGAAACTAGAAGGGAAGCGGAACATCAGGCAAAAGTAACAGTCTCTTTGAAAAATGAGGGTTTTGAAGCCCATCAAAATTTGATTATTGAAAGAAATCAAATTTCTGGACACCCTTTCCCTAATTGGGTCGAATGGGTTCAGTTCCCACGAGGATATGCAATACCTCATTTTCCTTTATATAATGGGACAGGTTGTCCAAGGTGCCATTTGGTTCATTTCCTTGCACGATGTGAAAACACAATAAAAAGCCAGGCGTTACTTCTACGGCAGTTCGTTCTTTCTTTGGAGGGGTGGGCAGTAGATTGGTACTTCAGCCTGCCACCTAATTCAATCCCAGATTGGGACACAATGGCTGATCGATTCTATAGGACATTTTATAAACTATGGCCAATAGAAATCAAGATGTCAGAACATTTGGAGGACGAGGGTACATCTTCTCAAACATATGATTTCATAGAAGGCACATATGATTTCCCGAAGGATACGAACTTTTGAATTTTGTCCTATATGAAGGGTATGGAGATCCTCAAAAACATATTAGGCGTTTTTTGAAACAGTGTGGGGAAACGACTCAGAATCAAGCACTTTGCCTAAAACAATTCCCCCTTTCTTTGGAGGGGATTGCCTTTGACTGGTATTACTCCATCGAAGGGGTCGTGGTGCCTAGTTGGGAGGCCATGAAGAACGGTTTTGTAGAATCCCAATGCTTTTATAGGCGTGACTCCTGGTACCTAAGAAATGGGAGAAGAATGCAGCTCCAGGAAGATGGAGAAGTGACTGATGATGATGATCACCCTGTAGCTGGACCAGTTAACATGGTCCAAATAGGTGAGGGAACAAAAGAAGTTGAGGTCAACGAAAAGGAAGTTGCTGAAGTATGCCAGACTTACTTGACCCACCGGAGGAAATTACGAAATCCTTAGGACCCTCAAACGTCAAAAGTTCCACAGGTTTTGCTGGAGAAAGAGCAAGTGAAATATGATGTACTAGCTCATCTAAAGAAAATCCCAGCATTGTTGAGCGTATATGATGCACTGAAAATGTCTCTAGAGCTTCGAAATTTTTTAATATATGCTCTGTCTAAGCCAGAGGATTTCCACAAAGAAATCGAGGGTAGAAATCAAGAGAAGACAACTACATGCATGGCTATGGTAACCTTTGGTGACAAAGATATGTGTGCTGAAATGACAGACCATAATCGGCCTTTGTTTATCACTGGGCTTATCCATGATGTGAAAATTTCTCAAATTCTAGTTGATGGAGGATTTGTGGTAAACCTCCTGCCTCGGAGGGCCCTAAACTTATTAGGGGTTCGAATTTCACAACTTCGTCTAAGTCGTTTGGTCATTCAAGGATTTAATTAGAATGAACAACACCCAATGGGGAAGATTGAATTGCAGACCAAGTTTGGGATATTGAAGAAAGTATTGAGTTCTTGGTTATTGATGTAGACACCTCCTACAATGCTTTGCTTGGGAGACCATGGATGCATAATCATCAGTGTAGTACCATCAACTTATCACCAATGTATCAAGTACCTGTTGCCTTCACCCAAAAAAGAGGGGACAATTGTGGCTGACAATGATCCATTTGGAGAAGTAAAGGCCTATTATGCTGATGCTCGTTTCTATACAAAGACTTCACAAAGAAAGGGAAAAGATGTGAAGTCTGAAGATACTCCAAATGTCAAAGACGCTCTAGAGTCTACTCCAGTTTCAACAAAGAACTTTTCGATATGTGCCAAAGTCCTAAAGGAAACCGGGGGCAAAGGCTCTAGCCCCAATAAATCCAATTTTGGATCTCAAGGGTGAGTTCACGTTGCCATTAAGGAGGACATAATGCACCTATGTGGAGAAATATAATAAGATTGTGGTCGCTCCTAAAGGAAAAGGGTCGAAACCCATCATATTCCATTCACTTGGAGATGTTGAATAGAAAGTGAAAGTTGAACAAGTGCCAGAAGAAAACATCTCAAGTTTTGAGAAGCCTACCTTCAATACAAAAATTACACAGATGTTGGTAAAAGTTGGTTTAGATCCTGAAAAAATACTAGGAACAATGACACCCTTTGACTTTGTATTAACACCTTCGCAGAAGCAGGCTATCCAGCAAGGCGGTATTATCATCGCTAGGACAGAAGGGTTAGGCTATCGGGGGGATAAGGAAAAATTTCCAGTAAACATGACTATCACTCAAGATGTGTTGGAAGATGTTGACCAAGATGAAGCTCAACCTACACCAACAGAATTTGAAGCAGGAGGCCAAGTCACCGTGGATAACCTTCGTGAGGTAAATCTGGGTGATGAAGGAGAAAACAAACCAACCTTCATTAGTGCAATTTTAAAGGAAGAAGAAGCTCAACAATATATTTCCTTCTTAAGGGAGTATTGCGACATATTCGCATGGAACTACAGTGAGATGCCTGGTCTTAATCCAGAGATTGTAGTCCATAAGCTTGCAATTCACCCTGAGAAACGCCCAGTTAAACAACCTCAGAGGCGAACTCAACCAGAGCTTACAGTCCAAATTGAAGCTGAAGTCGACAAGCTTATCAATGCAGGATTCACAGGGAAGTCAAATATCTAACCTGGCTAGCAAACATAGTGCCAGTCAAGAAAAAGAATGGTCAAATCAGGGTTTGCATTGATTTCCGTGATCTCAATGAGGCTTGTCCTAAAGATGACTTTCCCTTGCCTATCACTGAACTTCTTGTAGATGCAACTACCAGGTATGAAACCTTGTTTTTTATGGATGGATACTCAGGATACAATCAAATCCGAATGGCACTAGAAGATAAGGAAATGACTGCATTCAGGACTCTGAGAGGAGTCTTTTGCTATAAGGTCATCCTTTGGCCTGAAAAATGCTGGGGCCATGTATCAAAAGGCAATGACTATAATTTTTGGTGATATGCTCCATGACACCATCGAATGCTATGTTGATGATCTTGTCGTCAAAACAAAGGAAAAGGAAAACCATGTGAAAGATTTAAGAAGAATCTTTGAACGTTTGAGGAGGTACAAACTCAAGATGAACCCACTAAAATGTGCATTTGGAGTTTCCTCAAGAAAATTTCTAGGGTTTGTGGTTCGGAACAAAGGGATTGAAATTGACCCTACCAAGATTAAAGCCATCGCTGATATGCCTCCTCTGCGAAATTTGAGGGAATTGAAGGGGCTACAAAGGAGATTGGCCTATATCAGATTGGCCTATATCATTATTTGAATGGGATCAGAAGTGCCAAAATGCTTTTAATAGTATTAAGGAGTATCTTTTGACGCCTCCAGTACTCATGAGCCCAATAAAAGGGAAACCACTCATATTGTACATAACAACCCTGGATGGTTCGTTAGGGGCACTGTTGGCACAACACAATGAGCATGGGAAAGAAAATGCCTTGTATTACTTGAGTCGTACTCTGGTTGGGGCAGAAGTCAATTATTCTCCTATCGAAAAGACATGTCTTGCCTTAGTGTTCGCTTTGCAAAAACTAAAGCACTATGTCCTAGAACACAAAGTCAAGTTGATATAAAGAGTAGACCCCTTGAAATATATACTTTCAAGGCCCATACTTTCAGGGAAAATTGCAAAGTGGGCTATAATTCTCCAACAATTCGCAATTGAATATGTTCCTCAAAGAGTTGTAAAGAGGCAGGCTCTAGCAGATTTTTTGGCAGCACATCCTATACCTGATGACTCACTTCTAGTAACTGATTTGTCAAATGAAGAGGCTATGCAAGTAGAAATCCAAAAAGAATGGGAGATGTATTTTGATGGAGCTTCAAGGAGTCCAGATGGCAAGAAGCAAGAAAATCCTAAAAACAATAAAGCTGGAATTGGAATTGTGTTTGTGACTCCAGACAATGCTATAATCACCCATTCTTTCGCCTTAAGTGAAGGATGCTCCAATAATGAGGCAGAATATGAAGCTGTAATTGCTGGATTAGAATTGGCATTACAAATTCCTATTGAAGAACTCTCAATTCCATCCAAAAACGGTTGGGATACTATTGGCCGACTATGATTGCAGATTGCATAGATTATGCTCGAAGATGCCAAGTCTGCCAAATCCATGGAAACTTTCTCCACCAACCCCCAAAACCTTTACATTTAACAACTTGTTCTTGGCCATTTGCAGCATGGGATATGGACATTATTGGTCCTTTTGTACCTCCATCTTTAGTAGGATATCGATACATTCTAGCTGCTACTGACTATTTATCAAAATGGGCAGAGGTCGTGGCTTTAAAGGATATAAAAAGCATAGTTGTTTCCGAGTTCATCCGAACCCATATCATTTACAGGTTCGGAATTCCAGAAAGTGTCATCATGGATAATGGACAGCCGTTTAGGAGTGATGCTTTGAACAAGTAATTTGCCAAGTACAAAATCAAAAACAACCATTCATCAAGATATCATGCACCTGCCAATGGTTTGGCAGAAGCTTTCAACAAGACATTGTGCAAAATTGTCAAGAAGATGGTGGATAAGAAGAAAAGAGCTTGGCACGAAAAGTTACAAGAAGCTTTGTGGGCTTATCGGACTTCGCACAGAACCCCTACTTAAGCAACCCCTTATTCGTTAGTTTTTGGAGGAGAAGCAGTGTTACCACTTGAGGTTCAAATACCATCATTGCGAGTGGCAATACAAGAGTCCTTAACAGAAGATGAAAGTGCAAGAGTGAGGTTGGTTGAGCTGGAGACCCTAGATGAAAGAAGGTTGTATGCTCAACATAACTTGGAGATCTACCAACAAAGGATGGAAAATGCATTCAATAAACGAGTGAGGCTTCGCTCCTTTAAAAAAAGAGACTTGGTACTAATGGTTAGAACACCCATAGTAGTCTCACGAAGAACCAAAGGAAAGCTTGAGCCCAAATGGGAAGGACCTTATGTGATTGAGAAGGTTTATTCTAATGGGGCCTATTTGTTAATAACGATGGATGGTGACAGAATCATTCTCCCAACCAGTGCAAGGTTCTTGAAGAGATATTACCTAGGTTGGAAACCCGAAAGGGCAACCTGGGCAAAAAATAAAAAAAAAACCACCAACAGTATTGTGTGTGGTTAAACTGCTAAAATACCTCACCGAAATCTAAGGTGATAAAACATTGGATACTCTTGGCCCGCAAGAGTATAAACTGTGTACGGCCAAACAAAAGTCCAAAACCACCAACGGTATTGTATGTGGTTAAACTACTAAAATACCCCACCAAAATCTAAGGTGGTAAAACATTGGATACTCCTGGCCCGCAAGAGTATAAACTGTGTATGGCCAAACAACAATCGAAGGCCACCAACGGTATTGTATGTGGTTAAATTGCTAAAATACCTTACCGAAATCTAAGGTGATGAAACATTGGATACTCCTGGCCTGCAAGAGTATAAACTGTGAACGGCTAAAATAAGACAAATCAATGTATTGTATTGAGAAATTTCATATAACAAATAAATCTATCACTGAGCGAAATTTCATAAATACATTATGTTCGGATGAATAACAAAATAAAAGTGCATTCATTCATTAAGAGAAGCCTTAGCCCTTTCAAAAGCACGTTCCACAACACCATGTTGTCCATTCTTCTTCTTGTGCTGGCTCAAAACATTTAGAGCAGTTTGCACGTCTTCTTCTGATTTAGAAACACTCTCGGAAGCTTGTGCAAAATCACACATAAAGGATGCATGTTCAGAGTGGATGGCAATTCCTCTTCAAGTTGTTTGAGTAACTCTTTGGTTTGAATAATCCTTTGATTAAGACCCGCAATGTGCTCATCTGACTTGATAATTGAAGCAGACAACTGTTCATGTTCGCTAGAAACTTTGTCGAAATGAAGCTTCTTCTCATAGTATTGGGCCTCAAATTCTGCAATAGACAAGTTTGAAGAATCTGCAAGTTGCGTTTTCAAAGCAAAGCACCCAAGGAATATCTTCACCTTCTCGTAAAAGGAGATGAAGTCTACACCCAAACTCTTCAAAATCATGAAAACGTTGTTTGCTACGGCAATTATGCCATTAACATCTGTCATTGATTGGAGAGAAATAGTAAGACCTTTCTGAATATGGGTGGCTGCTTCGTTAGAGGAAGTTCCCAAAAGAAGGCTAGATGGAGCAAGGGATGCTTCAAGTTGGTCAAATAATTTGTTAACCCCATTTGCTTCAAGTCTGCAAGGATTTGGGCCTCTACCGAGGTATCAGAAATAATTTCGTCTGTCTCTTCCAATGTGTCAGAAGTAATTTCTGTAAAAATAGAAGGAGATACTCAATGAAAACATAGAAGGTAAAAATAATATATATATATATATATATGGGTGAATGAAGTATACCTTGGTGTACGGCTTGAAGAGACTTAGGTGTGGGAGGAGACAAGTTGTGATTCCCACAGGTGGACCACGGATTTTGCAATGTGGCATGATCTAAAAACAAAAGAGTTCCTTGAGTATGTATACATGATGAAATAAAATGAGGTACAAGGAATGAATAAGAATACCCTTAAAGGTAGCCAATGGCATATGTGAGGCAGCTGGGGAAGTCTGAGGCACAGTGCCTAAGAAAATGAAAAGTATTTAAAAAAGAAAAAAAAAATGGAGGAATTATACCTTTCTCTAACAACTTGGATAGCTTGTTCGAAGAAGGAGAAGAAAAACCTACATTTGCTGGGGGCAATTTACTCATCTTAGTCGGTGTGCCATCTAAAAGAGGGCTATAGTAATAAAACTCATCTTCACTCTCGCTACTCCCATTGAGAGAACGATCAAAAGATTTGGTGGGAGAAGGAATTTCAACACTCTTAATGCGAATACGACCCAAGGCAATTAATTCATACCTATCTCCCTCAAAGAGTTCTTGAATCATATTCTCATCTTTATCTTCAAGAAAAGAATACAGGTATGTGCGAAACTGATCCATTGGGGTTTTGGTCGATACTGTTGGTTGGGAAGTTCCTGTATAATCACTGATAGACATAGTCTTTGGAAAAAGCTTTGCTAGACTAGAAAATTGAGGGCCAGAATCTACTTGCTCAAAGCTAAATCTCATTTTAAATTGAGAATTACACATATCCTCAAAAAGATGAAGGAGATCTGAAACCAAGTAACTAGATGGGGAAGGAGCAATAGGTGGCCGACTATTATCCATTCTCTGAGGTGACGATGCTTCTAGAGCAATAGGTGAAGATGATGACCTAGCTCTAGAGTAAGAAGGCTCCTTCGTCTTTTGGTCTTTAATTGACATATCAAGTTTTCTCTTGCGTGAAGATTTCAACTGGGTATGAGTAACATATTGGAGCACGGTAAAGGAAGTTTCCAACCACCAATTGGCATAAGGCATGGTTACGTGAGAAGTAGATTGGGAGCCTGGTAACTCCAATAAGACTTTTGTACCGCAGCGTAGCATATGGCGCTAGTTGTAATAAAATTTAGACTACTCAGAGGGCTGCCGACAAGATACATTAAGCGGTGTAGGGCACGCTTGAGCAAACCCAAATTGACGACTGTATCGGTTTGGGGAGTACAATTCAGAGATGAAATTAAATCCCATTTTAAAAGTTAAAATCCCTTGCCTCAAAGATATAAGATAGCCAAGATGGAAAGGTGATATCCTTTTAGAGTCGACCAGAATGCCTGAAGGCTCACCTTCATGGGTAAGAGCCCTAAACTGACACTCCGTACGATAGGTTAAGAGAGAGTTCACAAATGGAAATTTATCAATAAAAAACTAGGCAGCCGATTGGTTTCCAATAAACCCAAGATATGGCATGAAATGAATATCAAGAATCGGACAAATCGATAGAGGATCCCCACGAGAGTAAATCTTAACAAAATATAGTGAAATCCATCCAAAAAGGTAATGCAAAGGACCCTAAATATTTTCCTTCCCAGGTGAAGGTGATGATGCCATTTTATCAAGAGAATGATAGAGGTATGTAAGGACGGGGATGGCCAGGTTAAATAAGGTTTCACCGGCCATTTTGGTGGCTGCATGAAAGGTAGTCGGACGAATTTCCCCGGAAGAGTGAGGGAAAACAAATCCGCTAAGCCAACTCGCCAAAAAACTAGAAAGATACACATCATCAGGGATTCTATCTTTTCGTCGAAAACCACTAGTTGAAGTTGGGGATTAGTCAATGAATTTGAAAGTCCAATGGTTAAACTTCTTGGATTGAAAAGAGCTGGCATAAATGTTGAAAAGCCCACGGCACGCCTTGGATGTCTGGGACGAACATAAAACGTCGTTGGAGGGGGTAAATTCTTCATAAAACTCGCCACCGATGGGGAGGCCGCTAATGCGATGAAGGTCCCATAAAGAGATCCCAAGTTCACCGTAAATGGTGTGGAAAGTGTTGGTGTCGGGTGACCATCGCTCTAAGAATCCTTTGAGCAAGATGACATTCCTAGCATAAGCAAATTGGGATACATAGATTGCGGCATAAATCCCACACTTCTTCAAAATAGGGGCAAATGTGGAGACAACATCATTCAACCAAAAAATCCATATAGGGGATTGCAAATGGGTGGAGATGCCACGGACATTAAAAGAATTATCCCACCTTAATTTTTCATGTTTCATTCTCTTGAGAAGAGTATTAAATTCGCAGTAATCAAGGTCTTCAGAAAATGGACGGAGGATTGAGACAGGGAATGAACCGATTGATTTGGAGTGTCCTTTCTCGAGAATCTCACAGCAATTTCGAATTCCTGTATAGACCAAGTCTTCGGAAGCTGTATGCAAAGGGATGTAAGGGTCCAACTCGGTAGGTGACAATAAAGCAGTGATAGGTTTGTGCCGAATTATTTTCGGACCAGATTTATCCAATACATCCCTCTCGTCACGTCGAAGATATTCAAGTGTCTTTTCCATGTTTCCTTTAAAAAATTAAACAAATTTTTTTAAAAAACAAAAGAAGGAAGAAGAGGTTGGTGAAGGCAAAATGTCATTGACAAAAGCCCTTGCCAAGGAATCAAGTCGTTGGGGTGATGGACATGTTCACTGCCAAGGTTTCAAGCCATTGGGGTGACGGACACATTCACTGCCAAGGAATCAAGCCGTTGGGGTGATGGGCACAATCACCGCCAAGGATTCAAGCCGTTGAGGTGACGGATACAATCACTACCAAGGATTCAAGCCGTTGGGGTGACGGACACAATCACTGCCAAAGATTTAAGCCATTGGGGTGAAGGACACATTCACTGCTAAGGATTCAAGCTATTGGGGTGAAGGACACATTCACTGCCAGGGTTTCAAGCCATTGGGGTGAAAAGACACAATCACTGCTAAGGATTCAAGCCATCGGGGTGAAGGACACAATCACTGTCAAGGATTCAAGCCATTGGGGTGAAGAACACATTCACTGCCAAGGATTCAAGTCATTGGGGTGAAAGAACACAATCACTACTAAGGATTCAAGCCACTCATTGCCATTAGGCTGGAAAGGGCAATGATACGTACAAACTCACTCTGACGCCTTGCGTGTTGCCTGCAAAAGAGGTAAAAAGACATGAAATAATTGAAAAAAAAAATTGTAGCTTCTAAACAGGGCTTGAGACTTCATTAGTAGCAGGTTTCTTTTACAACAAAAAAAGGCTGTTTGTGCACGCTTACAAGCAAGGACTTTGGGGTTGGAAAAAAAAAAAAAACTAAAAAATAATAATAAAATATTTCATTGTCGTTATTCGTATAGTTAAAATTCATATGCACGAATCACGAGGGGGCAAGCTTTGATTAGATTAAATTCAAAATGGACAAGTTGAAACGGAGATGGTAGAATTCGACCATCTTGGTCTGGAACTCTGTGGCCTACCTTCTGAAGATATGACAGAAAATTCCAACAGAAATCAATTGAGACCACTGCCAGAAGACAAGAGACCTGCCATGTCAACAATTCTACTTGGGCTATTTAAACTCATGGTCTAGGGAAAAATTCTTGCAGGTTTTGTTTTTTTTTTTTTTTTAAAAAAAAAAAAACTGGTTTTTTGTGTGTGTAGTGGAGAAGGCCAAAAAGCTAGCTTTTTTAGTTTCTTCCCAAACAATATATATATATATATATATAAGGCAGCAATAAGATTAAACTGTGACCAAAAAAAAGAAAAAAAAAAGGCCTTTGTTCAAGAAAGACTTTGGGCTAGGAAAAAAATCTGCTTGAAAGGTAGCAGGTTTTGAAAGACTTTGATTAGATTAAATTCAAAATGGACCAGTTGAAACTGAGATGGTAGAATTCGACCATCTTGGTCTGGAACTATGTGGCCTACCTTCTGAAGATATGATAGAAAATTCCAACAGGGATCAATTGAGACCACTGCCAAAAGACAAGAGACCTGCCATGTCAACAATTCTACTTGGGCTATTAAAACTCTATGATCTAGGGAAAAATTCTTGCAGGTTTTGCTTTTTTTTATTAAAAAAAAAAACTTGTTCTTTTGTTTGTGTAGGGCAAGGACTTTATCTGGGCTAGTTAAGTTCATGATCTAACAACAATATATATATATATAAGGCAGCAATAAGATTAAACTGTGACCCAAAAAAAAAAAAAAAAAAAAGGGCCTTTGTTCAGGAAAGACTTTGGGCTAGGGAAAAAATCTGCTTCAAAGGCAGCAGGTTTTTTGTTCAGGCAAAAATAAAAATATAAAAAGTAAAAAAATAAAAAGAAAAGAGGCTACAACTTTTGTTATGAAAGAAGGCAGTAGATTATTCATCATTTCAAGAAGGGTCTTTGTTGGAACTACTTGGACTTAGGGTCTAGTAAAAATTTTTTGGGAAGGGCTGTCACATGGTGATATACATGCTAAAAGAAAATATTTTATGGAGAATAAATCATACCTGATTTAAAGGAGTTTGAAGAGATTCTTTTGTGTCTTCTTTAAAGTATAAGAAGAACAACTTTTGTTGGAAAAAGAAGAAAGATAATGGCTGGAAAGTTGCTGGAAGGATTAAGATTTTCTGGAAACAAAAAAAATCTGCTGGGAGAAACAAAATCTACGGGGAAAAAAGGGGCTGCAGGGAAAATATATGAATAGGTGTAATATAAAGAAAAAAGTCTTGCTTCAGAAAAGAGGTAGTGGTCTCCTAAAATACTTCAAAGAAGCAAGAGTTTATGTAGGATTTGAAATACTCCATAGAAGTAAGAGTTTGTGTAGGATTAGAAATCCTACCAACGCCAATCCATCATATTCCATTTAGACAAACTCCTAAAAGGGGCTCATGCGAGCAAAAAATAATAAAAGGCCCATGGACTATAGGGAGCAATCAACCCATTAAAAAATATATATATATATATATACAAAGCCTGAAAAGTGGCAGAAAGGGACCAAGGCCAAGAAATAATTCCATCCAAGACCTAAAGAGGATCTAGATAAAAGTGCCAATTTGTTGTGACTCACACAGTTAAGAAAATTCACTTGTGCAAGTCACGAGGGGGCATTTGTTGGCACAAAAATTTCAACTAAATTTATGTTTAAATTTCAAATACAGTCAATGACACACATAGAGCCTATGATAAGATTGTTGTAGGCAATCACTTCCCAAAATGATCAACTTGCTCCGTTGAAGTGTATAAATAAAATGACGTCGTATCTTAACGACGTTATTCAAGATGCTCAAATGACACGTGGAGCCTACGAAAGATGACACCTGTAGAGCCTACAACAAGGACACTACACAGGATGAAACCCCAAAAATCAATCTGGTTAATCAGATATACGATTAATCATATAGCGCTATTATTCAAAATTTAAATGGCGCTATTTGAAATTCAAATTGAGGATGAGGCATTCTTATCACCTGGATGGCCCTCTATAAATATGAGGACCATCACACAAGATCAGGGATCAGAGAAAATCAAAAGAGAGAATATCAGAGAGAGAGAGAGAGAGAGAGAGAGAGAGAGAGAGAGAGAAAGAGAGAGAGAATTCAAGAGCTAGAAGAAAAGAAACTTAGAGAACTCAAGAAACTACGCTACAAACGCAAAATGGCAATGAACAGATAAAGGGTTCCAAACCCAAGAATTGCACTTTGTATTCAAGAGTTCAAAACCCATAACAATTTTAATAAAATGTTTATTTTTATTAAATTGTCTTCTGTTATTTATTTTGTTCTTCATTAATCAGAGGTTTCATTTATATAAAATGTGTAATTAACGATCTGAAATACAGATCGGAAATAGAAACCTGCTATTCAAATAATCAACACTGTTTAGTCCAAAAAACTAAACAGTGGACATTTGTAACATAAAATTTTGAAATGTGTTGAAACACTTGATGTTTTAAAATTTGTGTCTACAGTTAGTCTCTACAACGGTCCGACATGACCCCTTAAATTGTCCCGAAAGTGATTCCGGTTAGTTCCTACAACGGTCCAGCATGATCCCGTAAACTGTCCTGACATTGATTCCGGTCAGTTCCTACAATGGTCCAGCATGACTTTAAACTATCCTGACATTAGTTCCGACCAGTTTCTATAACGGTCCGACACGACCATAAACTATCTTTCGGCATTAGCTCCAGCATCTGATGCCGACCAGGGTCTTGTTGGCTGCCGACCAAGGTGTTTCCTAGCCATAGATGCTTCGGCAACTCTTCTAGGGCAGTTAAGTCTCTGTTTTTTCCCTTTCTAGGGTGTGGTGCTGATTTATTAAGCACTTTTGGCCTTTTTTATTTAGTGGACTACCAAATTTGTTCGGTAGCATTTATTTGGACTAGCCGTTGAGTTTTTTCCGACTTCTTCCAGTCATCCATTAATAAGCTGTGATTGTTGAATATCTTCACACCAGTTTCAGAGAGAGTGTTGAATATTGAAATTAAAGTACATAAAATCTTTTTATTCTTAGCATTATGTATATAATCTGTGATTGTGTCAATCACTGATTTAGTATTTGTTTTCTTATTTATATTGTTTCCTAAATTGTATCATGAATCTATTATATATATATGGTCTCTGCCTCATTCATGGGTAAGTCAAATAATTCTCTTCATGGTTAATATGCTATCACTTAAGTATAAAATGATAAACCATAAATAATGCATATATTGCAACTCCACAAAGCCCTTGCATCTAGGCTCCATTTGATTCATTGATTTGGTGATTAAAAAAAAAGGGAAAAGAAAATAGAAAGGAAATCATTTGTCTTCGTTTCATTACCTTGGAAAATAGTACAGAAAAAAAAAATGGTGAAAAAAACAGAGAATGTCAAGTTTTAAATATCATTTTCCCCTCTTATTTTTGATTTCTTACCATTTCTAATGAATTTTTTAAATTTAATATTTATTTATGTACAACAAAATAACGAAGAAATTTTTTAAAAAAATTCCTTTCTCATTTATTTCTACTTTCTTTCTGCTTTCCCTCACCATTTCCAAGCACCAAACTGAGACCTAACAGACTAATGAGAAGCAAATAGAGAAACAACAAAAATTAAAACAGGATGTAGAATCCAATTTTTATTGTGTACACAATGTAATATTCGATATCATATTACCCAACGACATTTTGCTCAATACACCTCTTGGCCAAGAGGGGGCAAGTAAAAATGATGGGTAATAAAGAACAAAAAGAAAACAAGAAAAATAAGAATTGACTTCTAATTAGATGGTTAGTACTTCCCTTTAACTATAGACCACCAAAGTAGATCCAGCCATTAACGTATTCCATTGGTTCACAATAAGAATGAAAATGAGCTTAGCAGTAAGAATTTTACCTCTTTGACATATTAAAAAGTTCTTTGTCTGAAGAGAACACCAATATTTTCCGGGCATCATTAATTGAAAGTGAATCGTAGGCCTTTTTGCTGCATCCAGCTATTTCATCTCTGCAAAAGACAATGAACTACTAAGGGCACAAAACTAGCCACACTTTCTACCAAGTAGACAATGTGTGTATCTAAAGCAATAACATACCAACCCACACTTTTCAAAGTGCTCATGCTACTAGAGTTGGAATGAACAAAATAAGAAACGAAAAGAGTGAGCGATCTCTCTGCAGTGCATATGTATGCATAAATGTAGGCGTAAATCCCACTTCTCAGGTCGCTAACTTGATGTTATAAACAAATGTAGCAAAAGAGAGATAAAAACGTGATAACCAAAACAAATTTACATAGGTCTCACTTAATATAATTCAAATTCAGTAGGAAAGTCAATGTTGCTACCAAGCAGACAATGTGCATATGTAAAAGCAGTACTACCAACCAACCCTTTCCAGAGTGCACATGCTACCATAGTTGGAATGAAAAAAAATACGAAAAGACGAAGAGTGATTGATCAGTCCGCAGTGCATATGTATATAGAGAATTTATCTATAAATCCCTGTTCTCAGGTCACTAACTTGATATTATCAACAAATGTAGCAAAAGGGATAGAAAAACATTAACAAAACATATGAACATAGACCTCACCATAATTCAAATGTAGTGGGATAGTCACTGTTACTACCAAGTAGACAATGTGCGTATGTAAAAGCAGTAATACCAACCAACGTTCATTTAATTTGCATCATTATTTCCGCCCAAACGAAATTCAACTATTGGTTGCGACTGTCAACTAGCAAACTCTCATAAATGCCCTCATTTTCCTCCACTTAAAAGAATACATGATATTATATGAATGGAATGAACAACTATAATCAAATAAAACACCCTAAAAAATCAGTTATTATTTCAACTCTTGCCTCTCCTTTTAATCTCTGCCATAAGTAAAGTCACACAGTTTACCTTACTGTCTTTGCCAACAGAACATGAAATAAACGTAAGTTTCATGGGGTACAGTCTGTCTCGCACTCAAGACACAGTTGTAAGCCCCCTCCATAAACGATTGCTCCAGTTCTACAGCATGCTTGATACAATTATTCGCCCATAGCACTGGCTGAAAGCAATTCCAATTCAGTGTGGAATTCAGCAATTCTATTCTGCACAAGGAGTCTCAAAAGGTTGAGACCTAAGATAGGATACTCCTGAGGAGATGGTGGAAGGCGGCCACTGCTCCATCAAAGAAAAAAAAAGTCATGACCATTACCTTTCAAATTCAAAAGGTAAACAAGATAAATAAGATAAATAAGCAGTAAGCTCACTCTTAGAACCAGACAGAAATCAACAATGGCCATGCCTGTCTCAATTGCATTATTGAAGACTGACTACCCAATTCATCGACACATTGTCAACCACATTACCCCCACTATATGCCACTAGAAATAGAAAAAAGTTGTTCACAATCATGAAATTAATGTGTAGGATGTTTTGCCTTTATTGTTAACTGCTTGAGGACTTTCCAAAAGCGGCACACTGTGACATATGGATCTAGCAGGAACGAACACAAACAGACATGTACTAAAAAAACATATACAAAAATCCTTCATATACCTTAAATTCAGTCTAATTGTTTGGATAAGTTACTATGCACTGAGTGTCACATGTACACTAGCTCCTCCTCCATGACGGCAACGAGGATTAGCTAATTCAAATTAATACAGATATGAAGCACATAGAAGTTATAGCTTGAAGGCAATGCATTTAAAAATATGTTTCTCATCCAACACAATAATTCATTACATAGGTAAGCAGCAAGACAACATAAACTGAAGGTGGTGTTTTTGTCCATCAAACCCAACAGCTACTACTTGCACCAACCAACAAAAAAAAAAAAGTCTGATGAGAAAAACCTGGTTTCAATCTGAAGAAACCAAAATGTTAACATAATAGCCCACACAAATTAGAACATCTAAACAATTCGTTGTCCGGTTTAGTTTTTTGAGGTCATCTAACCTACGGAGGGGGAAAAGAAGCATAGCTAAAAATTCTCCTCAAAAAATGACTCCAAATCAACTCAAACATGGCAAAAAAAGTACATGACCTTTTTTATACAACCTGAAAACATGTGGTCCTAATTTCATCTTTTGCCACCCATTTTTGTCAAGGATATTTAAAATATAAAGGTCATCCAAAAAAAAAAAAGGAAAAAGACATAAGAAGTTGCTGTGCCTCTGTATAGTAAGGTATCAACTGAAAAAAAAATCCCTTTCAAAGGCATCCTGGTCCTCAATCTTCACACTTAAAAACAACTGCATGCTCATATATATCCCCTGCAAATTGTCAATCAGAAACATCATCAGTGAAACAGCTTAGGACTTGAAAATGGAAGTAATTTGACAAAATTTGGTACACATAATATTCAAAGTTCCTTGGAATGTAATTGTAAAACTTATACATAAGTCATGAGCAGCATGCCACGTTAACCAAATCAGGTATTCTAGTCAAAATGCTAGGACTTGAAATAGTTAATCTTTTTAAAGCTACAGTTGTTTAAACAAACTCAGTCATCAGTGATTTCCATCTTTTAATTTTCCTAATCCAATTTGCAAGTATGTTTCACAAGCGCATTCACCTAAAGGGCTGTGAAAACTTGTCCTATGCAATCTTCACTTTTGATCAACTTTTCCATAGTGGTCATCATCACTTTTCATACCTCAGTGCATATTGTTATTATTATCGTACCTCAACTGAAGATAGAGCTGACAACACTCTTACATGTCACAATACTTGGCCAACTTATGTTGCATGAATTGCACACAGGGACTTGTTGGGTCTTGTGGACCCTAATAAGTATTGTACACTGAGCCCTGGGTCCAATGGCGGGTTTGGGGGGCCTGCCCCAAGGGATGACGGGTCCAAATATTTTGGATACTTTGGTAATTTCTCGTTACTTCCCTGTTGTCCTAATTTTTATACTTATAAATAGATAAAAGGGGCATCTCTTGTACTGTAGAGAGTCAAAGTTGTGTCGTTTTCTAATCATAGTGAAAACCATAGTAGCCGTAGACGTAGCCCTATTTTGGGGTGAACCACGTAAATCTTTGTATTCTTGTGTTTGTGTAATTTCTTCGATTCGTTTTATCTTTCTTATTTGATATTTTGTGTCTCAACGATCCTTATTAGGAAGAGACGATTTCCTAGTAGGACGAACACAAGAATCTATCTTTGGCAGGGCAAAAGCACACCACTCCTAAAAAAGTGGGAGCGGGAGCGGGGGCAGAGAATAAAAAATATAAAAAAGCAAATAATCAGTGGGTTCAAGCCACTTGTCAAAACTTTGCTAGTTTTTTTAATCCAAAATGAAATTCCATCCTCTTATCAAAACCCGTTACTAAAACACCTAATTTTCAAGGCATGATAACGTTTATGTTTACAATTTTTATGTTTATAAATAATTTAAAAACTATATACAAATACTCATTTTGTGCCTAATTTTGTTTCTAAAAATTATAGACAAACTACACTAAATTTTTTATTAAAAAAAAATAATTATTTTCCTTGTTTCGAAAATAGGTTTTCATTCTTTCCTCCTTCTCCTACCCACTTTGGTCACCACCACCAACAATCGTATGCGGCCAACACACGACCCAAAAATAAAAAGTAATAGCCAAACCTTGTTTATGTGTGATAGAGATATGATATGAATGACGATCTTGTCCTATTGTTAGAAGAGAGAACAACAGAGAATTTTTTTTTTTATTTTTTTATGGCAATGTATCTTCATATAGTGAAATAGAATGAGTTCACAATTACAGCATAAAACACAATAAACTCCCAAAATGGGAGAGACATCCCAAACAAATACAATAATTACAACATAAAACACAATTATAAATAAACTCCCAAAATGGGAGTGACATCTCAAACAAGTACGAGGGCAATAAATTTCACATGCAAGTGTGAAAAGTGAAACTGTTAGGGCATGTTTGATTAGTAGGATTATAGCATAGGATTGGGATTGTTAGTCCATGGACTCACAATCCCATGTTTGATTGCAAATTTTATTAACCATATTTCATGTACGGCGTACATTCAATGTGACAAAATTGGAGAATTTTTAATATTGAGAGGGGCTGGAGATCATAATCTCAATTATGAAGGAAAAAAATAAAATGAATACATAATAAATGGTTATCTCACTAATCTAATTGGATAACTAATCCTACACTAATTCATGAAACTATTAATCCCTTCACTATTAATCATGTTAATCAAACAAGGCATTAACCTTCTAATAAGGTGTAAGAGCTCTGGCCAACAGACTAATCTCTATAAAGAGAGTAGTTTGAAAGGTATAACTGTAAACAAATAATATACTATAGTATTGTAAAAATATAATTGCATAATGTTTTTGTTGGAACCAGATGCAAGTAAATAGTGTTCAAGTCCAAGTAAGAGGGTTTAGTAAAAAATCATAGGATTCAATGAACCTATAATTAATTTGAGCAAGTTGAATTCATCTGTTTAAATAAATAACAAATTTAAGTGGGTTCAACTGAACCCTCTCAATTAAGTGTAGTGTCGCCCTAAGCACACTCCATGGACTGTCATGCAACATTACTAGTTATCTTTTTTCAACCCTCAAAAGAACTCCTATTACTGACGCTTCAAAATTTCCACAGAAACACCGAACACTGCAGTCTACCGCACCTTTTTATCCGAGTTCTTAGGAAAAATGAACTCCAAGAAGTTAGAAGCCCACCTATTGAGAATGGCATCACCCACTTAACCCCAAAAACTAAGAAGATCAAACTTCATAGCTTGTTAGCAACAAGGCAAAGAATAGGAAGGGTGATTGACATTCTCCCTGCCTTACGTATATCAATATAACTAATTAATCTCTTCTATATATCTTCATAGTTCAGCAAAAATGACGCTGTTTTATGCATTATATAAACAAAATAAAAATAGAACTAAATCATAGTGAATCATATGATTCACTCAATTTTTTATTCAACAACATGATTCGAATCATTTTTGTTGAAACTCGTATCAAATCGTACGAATCGAATCATGAATCGTAGGATTCTAACGACCATGAACACGATATCACCTCCACATTACAAATCATGGCAAAAAGAGCAAACTGAAAACATTCCTGCCTACAAAGTCTCCAAGAAATGCATTTTTTCCATCCTCGAAAAATCAAATAATCATAAAAGTCAGAATAAAGCCTTCATGGACTAGATTTTCCAAACTTCCAATGCCCTCCAAAAACATTTATTTTCAAAACATCGTTTGAATACTTTGCACTCCCTCAAAGTTTTGTCATCAAAACCCATCCAAATGTAATATAACTGCCACCCAACAAAAAACAGTGTTTGTAACTATGATGAAGCTTTTTTCTTAGCACGGAGAGGAATGACATGAAAAATTTAGCCTCACCAGCTGAGCTATTACATTGCTTTAGTCACTTCACAATGCAGAATATATAGGCAACACAGAAAGAGCTAAAACAACCTGTAGGTCACAAGCCAAGTTAAGAATAACGGAAGAGATACAATTCAAGAAGCAGCAAAAAGGGATAGCAATAAATGGGTTTGCTTCTCTGTTCATATCCTAGTCTTGCACAAAAACACACAACCCAAGAGGATAGAATCACGTGAATCAACAAAAGAGTAGGTTTATCAACAAATAGCAATACAACTAAAGGACCGCAATATATTTGATATATAAAGTCAAGTAAGTTACTTGCTAATGTCAACTCATGAACGGCATTGGGAGTTTCTTCAAACAATGGTGGAAGGCTTCTAAACTCTGTCAGCAAGACCTGCAAAATAAAAGAAGAAGATAACGTATCTGTGTCGTGTCCGTGTCAAACACTGACACTCTTAGGACACGTGTTCGACACTCTTCAAAACGTGTCCTATTTTTTAAATTTTTTTAAAGACCCAAACACTCTTTAGACACTTGGAGGACACACGTGTTAATCGCTTAAACACACATGTCTATCAATTAGACACATGTGAAACTAATTATAAGTTTGAACAAAATAACTTAAGATACAATAATAAAACAAAACCCATATAAATTTATAGGAATTAGTGTCATATTGCATTTGTTATTATCTTTGAATAATATATTTTATATATAACATATAATAAGTATATAAAATTATATATTTCATGCGTGTCCCCCACGTGTCGTGTCGTATCTTGCATTTTTTGAAAATTGACGTGTCGGCGTGTCCGTATCCGTGTCGTATCCGTGTTGTGACAAGTGTCTGTGTCCATGTTTCTTAGACTCACACCATACTGCAGCCAATTGGACATCATCTTTGATCAAATATATAGAGATTGGGAGGTTCCATTCCCTCTAATTCCATCAATTCAGTTGAGTATTAGGCATCGTATACAGACAACTACGTCTTATTGCTGATACATCCTATAATTTCTTTAGCGATGGTATTGAAATACTTTTTTAGTCCCAACCTAAACCCAACTTACTTGCCAAACGGGGGAAGAATTTTTATGTGCGGATAGAGTATATGTCATATGGTATCTTCTACTATTGTGATTGACTTTGATAATATAATCCATTATATTTATGTCAGGCGTTTGATAAACACTATGAGACATATACATTTGTAATTGATGAAAGATAATACCACGTGATATCATATTCACAGACAAAAATTTCTCCAAATGCGGACAAAGTTGTCTATATCTTGATGAAGATGGGGATTTTGAGCCCGTATATCTTCTCGATTTTCCCCCACAACCTCTGCTCTATGCAATCACGCATCCATAGGTGTTCTCACCATTTTTGTCTCATATGCCTACCTACAACCAGGGGCGGAGCCATGTAGGGGCAAGGGGGGTCACGTGCCCCCCTTGACTTTTCAATTTTTTTTTTTGTTTTTGTTTTGTGCTATGTGGAGTATGTTAAAGATTCGAAAAATTTGTTACTCGGTGACATAATCACCCGTTGCAGTGTGTGGAGTGTGTGTTAAAAGATTCAGAAAATTTGCTACTTGGTGACGCAATAATATGATTAAAAAAAATTAAAAAGTAAAAAAATTAACTTTTAATTAATTTTCTAAAATAAACCTATATAGTGGTATATGTACCCTCGATGGATCTGTTGTTTGTCAATTGTCATCAGGATTAGAAAGAGAATGGCCTCTATGCTCACATATGACAGCGACCAAACAGGGTCTCTCTCTCTCTAAAAATTTATCACTGTCGAAATCATATACAAAAGATTTGAACAATTATGCCCAAGGCAGACCCACTTCCATACAATGTCACTAGAATGGCAGCATTATTGATAAAAAAAAAAAAAAATTACACCGAATACCATCCGAATTCGACCAATACATAAACAAAGCTGTCCAATTTCATACCGAATACCATCTAAATTCGACCAATACATAAACAAAGCTGTCCAATTTCATACCGAATACCATCTAAATTCAACCAATACATAAACAAAGATGTCCAATTTTCTGGTTTTGTATCAAAGTCCCAAATGTTACTCGCTATTGTCAATAAACACGATATAGAATGGTTCAAAACTTACCTATCAAAAATAAAAATAAAAATAAAAAACTAGATAACAAAAATCAGTAATTAACAAATTTAGGCCTTACGAAAGTGTAAGAGGTTCTCAGAAATAAATATTAAAAACAAGAAATTGAATCTGATACGATATAAAATTAGGGTTTTGGGAATTGTGACCTTGAGCTGAGAGAGGAGTTTGGAACAAGTATCGAAATGGTTCCGAATAAAAGCGGATCCATCTCTCTGTGTCGCCTTGATGCTGTGTTTGGTTAGGGGATTTAGAGAGGGATTTGGAAAGGGAAAGGGAAAAGGTGTGTGAAACTAGGTGAAATTTAAGCATGTTTTCTTCATATTTCACCTACCTTTTCCATTTTCCTTTCCAAATCCCTCCTCAAATCCTCCAACCAAACACAACATGAAAGCTTCTCTTCTTTGTGTGCAAGAATGGATTTGGAGGGAACTCGGGCGGTTTGATCCGGGTGGGCTGCCAAAATTGCTCTGTCAATGGATCCGGTCTCTTTATTTTCTTTTATTTTTTTCTTTAGTTATAATATTATTTTAATTATAACTCGTGAGTTCTTTAAGTATGCCTCATTTGTATTTAGTTATAATATATATATATATATATATATATATTATTTATGATTTCTTATATGATGGTGATTCATTTAAAATTAAATAATTACATATCATTTTGAAATAATATTGGTTATATTTAACTTTACTATTAAAAATAACAGAAATAATACAACATAACAAACTGTTAATCCATTGTATCACATAAATCGTATTTCTTTAATTTCACACAAATGTCAAGAATTCATTTGTAAATTCAAGAATGGCAGGTAGTAATTATGTTTCATAGCAGAATGTTATCTTTACAAAAATGAGTCAATAAAAATCTTTCATGGTTGTTTTGGAAAGTTTTGATAATGTGATGAAAGCATTTAATATGGCAACTACTTATGACATGTATATGTTTGAAACTAAGATGGAACAAGTATACTCCATACACAAAGGGTTTTGTCCCTTATTATTTAACTTATTTATTTTTTAAATTCAAGAATGGCAGGTAGTAATTACAGTACTATAAATTTTGAGGTATAATATCATAATATAAAAATAATTAAAATTAACCGGAATGAAAGTGAGATAATACATTGTTGTAAATTATATGTAATACTACTATAAAATTAATAATAAGGGGATAATATTAAACACAAATAAAAATATTACAAAAAAATAAGTTAAATAAAGAAATATTCACTTATTGATAGAGGCACATGTAATCACTATTTTAAATGTGAATTACACGTTGGCTAAGGATGAAACAAATTCATTGAAAATATTGAGATCTTTCCAATGCTGAGTTTCGATCTTATGTCAATAGATAACTAACAAGAAAATATTTTTAAGGCAGTGATAGAGAGCTCTAACACAAAAGTTTTAACATGAGCTCTAATAAGGTGTTAAACCAAAAAAAAAAAAAAAAAAAAAAAAAATCAAAAATTATTTTGGCATCATAGCAGAATGTTATCTTTACAAAAATGAGGCAATAAAAATCTTTCATGGTTGTTTTGGAAAGTTTTGATAATGTGATAAAAGCATTTAATATGGCAACTACTTATGACATGTATATGTTTAAAACTAAGATGGAACAAGTATACTCCATACATAAAGGGTTTTGTCCCTAATTATTTAACTTATTCATTTTTTAAATTCAAGAATGGCGGGTAGTGATTACAGTACTATAAATTTTGAGGTATAATATCATAATATGAAAATAATTAAAATTAACCAGAATGAAAGTGAGATAATACATTGTTGTAAATTATATGTAATACTACTATAAAATTAATAATAAGGGGGTAATATTAAACACAAATAAAAATATTGCAAAAAAGTAAGTTAAATAAAGAAATATTCACTTATTGATAGAGGCATGTAATCACTGTTTTAAATGTGAATTTTTGCCCCTCTAAGTGTGAAATCTGGTGTAACAAGTTATAATGTCTTATTTCTAAAATTTAACTATCGCTTTTCAACAATTATGCATTTCCAAATTAAGTAAAAATACATTACAAACTGTGTTAATTTATAAACCAATATACAACAAAAAATAATATTTCATAACGTCAGAAAAGTGAGAGCAAGAGGTTCGGTATTAGAAAGTCATGGACCTACTAATATAAATTAAACTGATGATGTACAAATGTGATTTGGTTGATGAATATTAAAACAAAAATTGCAAGAAATAAGAAGCTTAAACTCATAATTTACTGAGAATCTTGATGAATGATCCAAATTCAGTTATTGAATGGTGAATCTTACATCTAAAATAAATCTTCACCGCACATATTTTTTGGACAAATTCTTGATAATTTTTTCTGAGTTTGTAAATTTTCTTAACATTGATAAATATGATTTGTCAAAAAGTTGTTAGATTCTCTCTTGTTTGGTAAGTAAAAGTAAAAATTGTATGGGTTGGCAACCTGCATGTATCTAGGAATGGCAATCGGGGTAATGGGGTGGATGTTAATTCCCCATCCCCATTCCCCTATAATAAATTTTCCCCATTCCCCATTCCCCATGGGTACCACCCTCCCCATTTTTTAATGGGTATGGATTTTCCCCAACCCACTTTCAGTCTCAGATCTGATTGTTGGGTCTGTGGTGGCCTATCACGGGTCTCGTTTCGATAATTCGAATTGTTAATGTGTAGAACTCGTCGAAAACTATATGTTTGTATAAAATCACATTGATAGGATGTCAATAGTTACGTGATTAAATCAGTTTTGTATAAAAAAATAGACGGTGAAAAAATAAACGGTTGACAGAAAACGGATCCGATGAGATCACTATCGATATCCGATAAATGTGATTTTTTACAGATATATAATACTCGATGAGTTTTACACATTGAACAGTTCAGATTATTGAAACGAGACCCGTGGTGGGCCTGACAGCACCCTTCAGTTCGATCTAGGATGGGAGAGAAGCCAAGCCTAATTTAACAATCTCTACATTAATAACTATCATAAAAATAAATACAATTTTACTTAATCTCCTTATTATCAATTCTTTCTATTCTATTTTTGAAAA